TTACTAGTACTAGTTAGTACTAGTACTACTACTATTACTACTACTATTACTACTACTTACTAATACTACTACTACTAGTACCACTAACCGATCAGTGGGGTCAAATGTCATCCCCCCCATCCTCTACTTCCTCTCTGAACACTTTCACTTTCCCGGTGAACCGTTAGCTCTGTAGCTAATTAGCATCACTAAGACCTGCTAACAGCTTAGCATCTCCGTTACACCGGAAATGACACCGGAAGTGACACCGGTACTCACCGATGGTGGAGATGAAGGTGGTGTTGAACGCGTCCTCGCTGAACCGGAACAGCAGACAAGTCTTACCGACGCCGCTGTCACCGATCAGCAGCAGCTTGAACAGATAGTCGTACGTCTTCGCCATTTTATTCCCGTCGGTTCGTCCCGGTACTTTAACGGAAGAACCCTCCAGACTCCTCTGGTTCTGGTTCTACCGACAAAAAAGGAACCGAGAGGAAGCAGGAAACACTCCCGCTTCAAGCCGACGGGAATACACCGCGACACACATCCGGTACGAGCTTTTCACAATAAAACGCGTACAGAAATACGACTTTTGTCTCGTAACTACTTTCTTTTTTACTTCAGTAAAAGTAGTAATACTGCAGAGTAGAAGTACTCTGTTAGCAGTAAAAGTCCTGATTTAAAATCTTACTCTCAGACTAACCATTATACATTTCTGTACATTATTTATTATTTAAACATTTTTAACAGTGTTTTTTTTATTGTAATTGTTTTTCTTTCTGCACTAAAACATCAAAATAAATTCCTTGAATGTGAAAAACTACTCAGCAATAAACCAAATTCAGAAACTAAAATATATTGAAAGTATATTTATATTATAATATTATAGCTATTAATAGATTAATGTGTTGATGACGAGCTGAAGTTTAATTTACTTTATATATGTGGTGGAAAAAAATCTTTTTAACCTCTCTGTGAGAAATAATCACGATGGAACTTCTTAAAGTATTAAAAACATATTTAATGAACAGACACTTCAATCAAAATCCAGCTGAATGGATAGAGCTCTTTCCCCACGAATGGTTCGGAGGTCTAACCCTGATAAACAGAGAAACAGAGTGTATATGCACGTTATCTCGTCTCCTCTCCCTTCAACCTCCCCCCCTGTAACCCTCGCAGATGTCCGAAGAAGAACAACAAAGGCCGGTTCCCAGCCTTTTCGTGGGAAGAGGGTTGAGATTATATGCAGGTTTAGTGATACAAGACAACTAAAAGAACATTTCCACAACAATTCCCCCTTTGGCCATTCCTATGGCCATTAAAGTATTAACAATTTATCGAAACATCAACACATGTTACCCAGAATGGTTTATCATTAATCAGTAAGGTTAACACATTAGCTGTTTTGTGAGTTCCAAGTAACTCTATGTTGTAGCAAGCAAGGGAATGTTAACATCAACATCAAATAAATCTCCTGAGATGAGGTGAAACAGACATCGGACCTCCATCTCTGTTAAACAGTATAATAAGACAGTCAGTGAGTTTTAGAATAAACAATAATCTATTTGTAAGAAATTCTACCCAAGTATGTAATAAACATCCAGAATCTGTCAATTCAATTGATTCTTTTAAAAGAAAAAGAAAACATTAGCTGTTTTGTGAGATTATATTTCAAGAATAGCTGTAATAAAATAAGTACTACACAAAATGTCACTCTCGTAGTCTTATGGGAGGGAAAAGTCAGATGTTGCAGAGTCGGCCTTCATAGACTAAACAGTGGAATGCCTAAAATGTTTTGGATCTCTGGCTAACTCTTCTGATGTGTGTTCTATGGGTAGAAGCAGGCTGTGATCATCTTTAAGCACGTCTCACTCTTCTGATGTGTGTTCTATCGGTAGAAGCAGGCTGTGGTCATGTTATAAACACGTCTCACTCTTCTGATGTGTTCTATGGGTAGAAGCAGGCTGTGGTCATGTTTAAACACGTCTCACTCTTCTGATGTGTGTTCTTTCTGTAGAAGCAGGCTGTGGTCATGTTATCAACACATCTCACTCTTCTGATGTGTGTTCTATGGGTAGAAGCGGCTGTGGTCATGTTTAACCACGTCTCACTCTTCTGATGTGTGTTCTATGGGTAGAAGCGGCTGTGGTCATGTTTAAGCATGTCTCACTCTTCCGATGTGTGTTCTTTCTGTAGAAGCAGGCTGTGGTCATGTTATCAACACATCTCACTCTTCTGATGTGTGTTCTATGGGTAGAAGCAGGCTGTGGTCATGTTTAAACACGTCTCACTCTTCTGATGTGTGTTCTATCGGTAGAAGCAGGCTGTGGTCATGTTTAAGCACGTCTCACTCTTCTGATGTGTTCTATGGGTAGAAGCAGGCTGTGGTCATGTTTAAGCACGTCTCACTCTTCTGATGTGTGTTCTGTGGGTAGAAGCGGCTGTGGTCATGTTATAAACATGTCTCACTCTTCT